AAAGCGGGCGGTTTTTTAATACACCTCTAGTGGGTGCTCTCTGGCATCGGGGTCTGTTGAGTACTGGGTGCCTTCTTGGACACGGAGTCTGGTGAGTACACACGGAGTCTGTTGAGTACTTGGCGCTCTCTTGGCCACGGAGTCTGATGAATACCGGGTGCTGTCTTGGAGATGGAGGTTGTTTGAGACGCGGGTTCTCTCTTGGAGACGGAGTCTGTTGAGTAGTGGGTGCTCTCTTGGAGACAGACGCGGGCGGTCGGGCGGGCAGGCGGGCGGGGGGCGGGCGGGCCGGGCTTTTACATAGACCTCTAGTGGGTGCTCTCTGGCAGCGGGGTCTGTTGAATACTGGGTGCCTTCTTGGACACGGGGTCTGTTGAATACAGAGCGCTGTCTTGGAGATGGAGGCTGTTGAATACTGGGTGCTCCCTTGGACACGGAATCTGTTGAATAGCGGGTGCTGCCTTGGAGACGGAAGTTGTTGAAATGGAAACGACACCCTCAGTGGCTGCTCTCTTGGAAACGAAATGTGTTGAGTAATGGGTGCTCATTTGGAGACACAAGCGGGCGGTCGGGCGGGCGGGCGGGGGGCGGGCGGGCGGAACGGGCTTTTTAACTATACCTCTAGTGAGTGTTCTCTGGCAACGGGGTCTGCTGAGTACTGGGTGCCTTGTTGGACACGGAGTCTGTTGAGTACTGGGTGTTGTCTTGGACACGGATCTTGTTGAGTACTGCGTGCTCTCTTGGACACGGAGTCTGATGAATACGAAGTTCTTTTGGACACGGGATCTATTGAGTAGTGGCTGCTCTCTTGGAGACGGAGCCTGTTCAGTAGTGGGTGTTTTTTTGGAGACGGAGGCGGGCGGTCGGGCGGGGGGCGGGCGGGCGGGTCGGGTTTTGATGAAAGACCTCTAGTGGGTGCTCTCTGGCAGCGGGGTCTGTTGAGTACTGGGTGCCTTGTTGGACACGGAATCTGTTGAGTACATAGTGCTGTTTTGGGAACGGAATCAGTTGAGACCTGTGTGCTCCCTTGGACACAGAGTCAGTTGAATACTGGGCGCAGCCTTGGAAACGGAGTCCGTTGAGTAGTGGGTGCTGTCTTGGAGACACAGGCGCGAGGTCGGGCGGGGAGCGGGCGGGCGGGTCGGATTTTTTTTTAACAGACCTCTAGTGGGTGCTCTCTGGCAGCGAGGTCTGTTGAGTACTGGATGCCTTTTTGGACACGCAATTTGTTGAATACAAGGTGCCGTCTTGGAGACGGAGTCTGTTGACTAGTGGGTGCTACCTTGGACACGGAGTCTGTTGAATACTGGGCGCTGTCTTGGAGACGGAGGCAATTGAATAGTGGCTGCTCTCTTGGAGACTGAGTCTGTTGAGTAGTGGGTGCTCTCTTGGAAACAAAGGCGGGCGGTCGGGCGGGCGGGTGGGCGGGCGGGCGGGTCGGGTTTTTAAATCGACCTTTCCTGGGTGCCCTCTGGCAGCGGGGTCTGTTGAGTACTGGGTGCCTTCTTGGACACAGAGTCTGTTGAGTACACGGTGCTGTCTTGCAGACGGGGTCTGTTGAGTGCTGGGTGCTCCCTTGGACACGGAGTCTGTGGAATACCGGGTGCTGCCTTGGAAAGGAAGGCTGTTTAGTACAGAGTGATGTTTGAGAGACGGGGTCAGTTGACTCGTTGTTTACTGGTTTTTGTTTTGGAAGCACAGGCCGGAACCGGAATCGGAGCCAGAACCGTGACCTGGAAAATCTTCGTTTGGACCACGAAGAAGAAAGAAACCGGAACCGGAACAGGAACAAAAAACCGTGCCTTGGGGGGTCTTATTTGGGAGCTCGAAGATCAAGGAAACCGACGCCGGAACCGGAACCGGAACTGAAACCAGAACCATGATCTGGATAGGCTTCTTTGGGGCCCCGAAAAAAAAGAAAACTGGGACCAGAACCGGAACCGGAACCAAAACCAGAACCGTGACTTGGAAGGTTTTCATTGGGGCCCCGAGGAAAAAGGGAACCGGAACCAGAAGCGGAACCGGAACCAGAAACCGTGACCTGAGGGTGCTCTCTCGGAGACGGAGTATGTTGAGTAGTGGGTGCTCTCTGGCAGCGGGGTCTGTGGAGTACTGGGCGCCTTCTTGGACACGGAGTCTGTTGAGCACACGGTACTGTCTTGGAGACGGAGTCTTTTGAGTACTGGGTGATCCTTTGGACGCAGAGTCCGTTGAATATTGGGTGATGATCTTCAACAAAGCCGTATTCGTCATCATTACCATCCTCTTCCTCATCAGCCTCGGCATCAGCCTGCCTCAGCATCAGCCTGCCTCAGCCTCAGCCTCAGCCTGCCTCAGCCTCAGCCTCAGCCTGCTTCAGCCTCAGCCTCAGTCTGCCTGCAGCCTCGCCTCAGCCTCAGCCTGCCTCAGCCTCAGCCTGCCTCAGCCTCAGCCTCAGCCTCAGCCTGCCTCAGCATCAGCCTGCCTCAGCCTCAGCCTCAGCCTGCCTCAGCCTCAGCCTCAGCCTGCTTCAGCCTCAGCCTCAGTCTGCCTTCAGCCTCGGCCTCAGCCTCAGCCTGCCTCAGCCTCAGCCTGCCTCAGCCTCAGCCTCAGCCTGCCTCAGCATCAGCCTGCCTCTCTGCCTTCAGCCTCGGCCTCAGCCTCAGCCTGCCTCAGCCTCAGCCTGCATCAGCCTCAGCCTCAGCCTCAGCCTGCCTCAGCATCAGCCTGCCTCAGCCTCAGCCTCAGCCTGCCTCAGCCTCAGCCTCAGCCTCAGCCTTTCAGCCTCAGCCTCAGTCTGCCTTCGGCCTCGGCCTCAGCCTCAGCCTGCCTCAGCCTCAGCCTGCATCAGCCTCAGCCTCAGCCTCAGCCTGCCTCAGCATCAGCCTGCCTCAGCCTCAGCCTCAGCCTGCCTCAGCCTCAGCCTCAGCCTGCTTCAGCCTCAGCCTCAGCCTCAGCCTCAGCTGCCTTCAGCCTCGGCCTCAGCCTCAGCCTGCCTCAGCCTCAGCCTGCATCAGCCTCAGCCTCAGCCTCAGCCTGCCTCAGCATCAGCCTGCCTCAGCCTCAGCCTCAGCCTGCCTCAGCCTCAGCCTCAGCCTGCTTCAGCCTCAGCCTCAGTCTGCCTTCAGCCTCGGCCTCAGCCTCAGCCTGCCTCAGCCTCAGCCTGCATCAGCCTCAGCCTCAGCCTCAGCCTGCCTCAGCATCAGCCTGCCTCAGCCTCAGCCTCAGCCTGCCTCAGCCTCAGCCTCAGCCTCAGCCTGCTTCAGCCTCAGCCAGTCTGCCTTCAGCCTCGGCCTCAGCCTCAGCCTGCCTCAGCCTCAGCCTCAGCCTGCCTCAGCATCAGCCTGACTCAGCCTCAGCCCCAGCCTGCCTCAGCCTCAGCCTCAGCCTGCTTCAGCCTCAGCCCCAGTCTGCCTTCAGCCTCAGCCTCAGCCTCAGCCTCAGCCTCAGCCTCAGCCTCAGCCTCAGCCTGCCGCAGCCTCAGCCTGCATGAGCCTCAGCCTCAGCCTGCATCAGCCTCAGCCTCCGCCTCAGCTTGCCTCAGCCTCAGCCTGCTTCAGCCTCAGCCTCAGCCTGCCTCAGCCTCAGCATCAGCCTGCTCCGGGCATTGAACCGGAACCAGAACCGGAACCAAAACCAAAACCGGAACCAAAACCGGAACCGGAACCAGAACCGGAACCAAAACCAAAACCAAAACCACCACCAGAACCATACTGCCAGGAATGGAGTTCTGGGAACTGGAAGAGCACGAAGTGGCCTACAGTTGGCTCTGGGCATTCAGAATGTGGCCCGGAATGGAGTTCTGGGAACTCGAAGACCAAGAAGTGGCCTACAGTTGGCTGCGGGCATTCAGAATCATTCCCGGGAATGGAGTTCTGGGACCTCGAAGACCACGAAGCGTGTAACTGTTGGGTAAAAAAAAAAGTCCCCAGCACCCTCCCCCGGATCGCGCCCAGACCCGCCTGGGGTGTCATGATGCTCTCCTTTGACCCTACTAGAAACCTAGTAGTCTGAGCTGTTAGGTAAAGAAACCGGAACCGGAACCGGAACCAAAACCGGAACCGTGACCTGGGGGGTCTTCTTCGAAGACAGAAGAAGAAGGAAACCGGAACCGGAACCGAAACCAAAACCGGAACCGTGACCGAAAGAGTCTTCTTCGAACCAAGAAAAGAAGGAAACCGGAACCGGAACCGAAACCAAAACCGGAACCGTGACCTGGGGGGTCTTCTTCGAAGACAGAAGAAGAAGGAAACCGGAACCGGAACCGAAACCAGAACCAAAACCGTGACCAAAAGGGTCTTCTTCGAACCAAGAGAAGAAAGAAACCGGAACCGGAACCGGAACCAAAACCGAAACCGTGACCTGGGGGGCCTTCTTCGGGGCGAGAAGAAAGAAACCGGAACCGGAACCGGAACCAAAACCGAAACCGTGACCAGGGAGTCTTCTTCGAGGCCAAGAGAAGAAGGAAACCGAAACCATAACCGGAACTAGAACCAGAACCGTGACCAGGAGGTCTTCTTCGAGGCCAAGAGAACAAGGGAACCGGAACCGGAACCGAAACCGGAACCGTGACCAGGGTGGTCTTCTTCGAGGCGGAAACAAAAAGGAAACCGGAACCGGAACCGGAACCAAAACCAGAACCAGAACCCTTACTTGGAGGGTGCTCTTCAAAGCCCCGAAGAAGAAGGAAACCGGAACCGGAACCGGAATCGGAACCAAAACCAAAACCTGAAAGTCTTTTTCAGGCCTGGAAGAAAAAGGAAACCAGAACCAAAACCAGAACCGGAACCGTCACCAAAGGGGCCTTTTTCCAGCCCCGCAAAAAGAAGGAAACCGGACCCAAAACCGGAACCGGAACCGGAACCAGAACCGGAACCGGAACCGGAACCGGAACCAAAACCAAAACCGGAACCAAAACCGGAACCGGAACCAGAACCAGAACCAAAACCAAAACCAAAACCACCACCAGAACCATACTGCTCGGCGGCCCTCGCGAGCGTCGGCCCCTCGCGAGCGGTGGCCTGCGGAGCCCCTCCTCCGCGCGCCGCTCCGCGAGGGCGGCGCCCGCGGCCGCGCGGCCGTCGCGGGAGGAGCCGGCGACGCCGCCCTGCGCGGGCTGCGGGGCGTCGCACTCGGCCAGGAAACTGCAGATCTGGACGTACCTGGCGGCCCCAGGGCTTCCAGCTGGCCTCGAGCAGACACATTTTTCGCCGGCGGCGAGGCAGAGGCAGTCCGCTCCAGCGTGTGGCTATCCGGGGCAACTGAACGGCAAGTTGTCCGGCGTGCAAGAGGGAGGAAGACGACGAGGGCGGGCGCGCGGGTGGAGGGGGAAGGGAAAGCGCTCAGACGTGGACGAGCGCCGTGAACAAACACGCGCCGGACAATGTCTTGTTCCTTTCGGGCTCTGGGTGCCCTCGCTGGGCCCTGAGGCCGTCAGAAACCTGCTCAAGATGACAAAGCCGGCCCGAAGTATGGGCCGAGACCATTGGGGATCCACGCCACGACAGGAACACGACGTCGGGGGTCTGGGGGGGTGGGATGCTCGTCCTCCTCCTCCTCCTCCTCCTCCTTCTTCTTCTTCTTGTTATTATCATCATTCTTATTCCTCCAGCTCCCCTGTGCTGACATGCCACAGGCCCTGGCTCTCCACCTTCCACCCTTTCCGACCAGCAGGTGGCCGACGTAGTGATTTTCTCAAGGGGCAGACAACTGCATAAACACGAACTGCTCAAGCTCGGCGAAGATATCTTGGATCGGCACTGGACTCCCTTCACGGCACCTCTGGTGCCAGGGAGAGGGGTCCAGCGCCGATCCAAGAGACCAGCGCGGACCTCCGACAGGATATGTTTTTCGTTATGCCCAACGTTTTTCGTGGGGTTATGGTTTCTTCCCTGCCGCGTCGCACCCGCGTGTCACTCACCTCCCCTCCTCCTCTTCCTTTCTCCCTTCACCCGCGCGCAACACATGCACGGCACGTACATGAGACACCACCCAACACATGCGCGACAATAAGAGGCGCGGCACTTTCTCGACAACAGAGGGAGGCGCAGGGGTGGTCCCTCAGCGTGGCCTCTGTGTGTGCCAGGGTCGAAAAGTTTGGCAGGCGTGTCACGTAGTTGCCACCACAATGGGGGTGCGCAGGGGGTGGTCCCTCAACGCGGCCTCTACGCGTGCCAGTGTCGGAAACCGTGGCAGGTGTGGCACTTTCTCGACACCAGAGGGGGTGCGCAGAGAGTGGTCCCTCGGCGCTGGCTCTATGCGTGCCAGGGTCGGAAAGCGTGGCGGGCGTTGAATTTTCTCTACGCCGCAGGGGGTGCGCAGAGAGTGGTCCCCCAGCGCGGTCTCTATGCGTGCCAGGGTCGGAAAGTGTGGCACGTGTAGCATTTCTCCACACCATAGGGGGTGCGCAGAGAGTGGTCCCTTAACGCGTCCCCTATGCGTGCCAGGGTCGGAAAGCGTGGCAGGCGTGGCACTTTGTCGCCACCAGAGGGGGTGCGCGGGGGGTGGTCCCTCAGCGCGGCCTCTATGCGTGCCAGGGTCGGACAGCGTGGCAGGTGTTGCACTTTCTCGACGCCAGAGGGGGTGCGCAGGGGGGTGTCCCTCAGCGCGTCCCCTATGTGTGCCAGGGTCGGAAAGCGCGGCCAGCGTAACACTTTCTCGACACCAGAGGGGTGCGCAGGGGGGGTGGTCCGCCACGGTGCGTGACAAGGCCGGACAGCGTGGCATGCATGGCGGCCAGAACTGTAGACACCTTGGCCCAAACCCGCTCGAATACTGCAAGTGCTGCCTTGCCGCCCGCGCCGCTCATGCCGCCCAAATATCCCATTGACGCACTGCCGCCTCCGTGTTTGAATCTCAAGAATCCCATGGCTGACGCAGGTGTCGAGGATAGGATTGTGAACTTGCGCAGTTGCGGGGCGGCAAACACATGACATTAAAATGAAGTATATGGGGGTCCTCGGTAGCGTAACTTTTGCTCATTCATGTCGTTCATGTGAGTGTTTTTCTACAAGTAAGGCGCATGCTTGTTCGTCTTGATGCCATTGTTCTTCTTTGTATTACTACTAAGACTAGTACGAATAATAATCATACTTATTCTTATTATTCTTATGATTGTAATAATTATAAGTATTGTTATTATCATCGTGTTCTTGCTCGGGCCTGCGGAGGCCCTCCTGGGGCCTTCCAGAGGCCGCCAGGTTCTCTGCCTGGGTTTCCTGCAAGGTCTTCCTGGGAAAGCTGAGGGGATACTAAGCCCGATTGTTGGGCCGCTGATGCGGATTACTAGACTTGGGTTGCTGGGTTTATCCAGACATGGCGAGGGCTCAAAAGCGGAATGCAGCCACATGAAGCAGAACTGGACGGGATTCTTCCGGATTGGCCCGGTGCTCACTATTCTTTTACTCGTGGGGCTCCTGAGGCCCACCCGAGACCCTCCGGAGGCCTCTGGGGGCACGCAGTACAGTCGGCCCGTATCATAAAGATACGCGATGAGGATGCAAGGGCCTTGGAAGGCCATTTCGAAGCTTTTCGAGCGGGGCGCGGCGAACGAAACTTGCGAAGGATGGACCGAGGAGGCAAGGATGCAAGGGCACCTTTGGGAAAGTTGCCCATCCTTGCTATGCAAGTTGACTGTATGTTGTTTCACAGGTTCCGGACAAAGGATCACCTGCGATCGGTCGCGAGCGTGGGGCGCCCCCCCCCGACGGGGATCAACCTCGCATAGTCGGCACTCCGGTGCAGCGTTCTGGAGCGTCTCCAGCACGCGGCGGCGGGTCGCAGCGGGGGTGAATTTGAAAGCGGCGCAGCCCCCCCCCCCCCCAGCGGTTATGTGAGGGGGGTCGCAGAGAGGGAGGGCTACCTCAGGGGGGGAACAATGAGCTGGAATCGACGATGCATTGCCGATAGATCGGCGATTGGCCACAAGCTGGCCATCGCTCGGGCGTCCACTCCCTATGTGTTTTTTTTGTTTCTCGATTTCGTGCGGGCACTGTGTCGCAAGGCGGCCCAAGATGCTCCTCGATAGTCCGCGCCGAGGAGAAATGCACACGTCCGAGCGATGCCAAGCGAGCGAGGAACCACCCTACTCCTGGGCATGTTGGGGCACCCAGGCCACGCTCGGCAAGGAATGAGCGGCTGGGGGTCGATGCTTCCCCCCTGGAGCCATTCCTCCCCCTGTCATTGCCCCCGATTGCCGCTGAACTCCGGATGACCAAGATCTCCTGGAGGAGAGCTCGCCATCGCTCGGCCCGGATCGCGGGAGTTTCGCATCGGCGAAGCGAACTCGAGGCAGCCTCGGTCTCCCCGCCCGGCTGCGGGGCCGATGTGCAGCAAGCTCTCCCCGAGCCTAGAAGAGGCCAGTGCAGGCGCGGCTGTGTGGGCACCTCCGCTGCAGTCGAAGAGGGGCGCTCGGGAATCGTTGCTGCTGCTGCTGCGACCTTGGTCGGGAGGCTGCCAGACTGCATCGAAGGGTCAGCGCCAACCTCATGGGTACCCAATGAGACGAGGACTTCGGCCGACGCATGGCAATAGACTTTCCGGCCTCTTCCATGCGCTGCGACGCTGGTGAACTGACGATGCACTGGCGAGGTCGGCCTACGACACACATGGGGCTTGAGATCGCAGCGCCGCCGATGTTTGAAGGAGAGCTTCGATCCAAACACCCAATTGCTCTGACCTCGGGAGCGGCCAAGAGGGGGGTGTCCAAGAGGGGGGGGTGCAAATCATGACCGGCGGCATGTGCGCGGCCCAGCGGGGGGGCCTGGGACGTAATAAAATAAGACGAGGCGCCATGAAATCTGAGGAAAAATCATGGCCCGCGCCATGAAATCCACCCCCCCCTAGTCATCACCCCCCTCTTTTCCGCTCCCGATGACCCTACTTCAGCGACGAAGGAAACCGGGTCTTACGCACGCCGACCTGGTGACTCGAGGCGGTGGCCTTCGCGGGCCACCGGTGCGGCCACATTGCGCAGGAGAGGGGGCACACACACGGCACTCTGCACGCCAATGTCCGCGCGGTCGACGGATCTTTTGGGGCGCCGTTTGGCCGGCTCTGGAAGCCCTGAATCATTACCCCGCCGCTTCCCACTGGCCTTTTGCAAGCATCCTCCGGCTCGGCCGCCTCCATTTCACCTCCGCGGGCCTTCCGACGAGGAAGACGCCAATTCTTCGATCTCTCGAGGGCGATGCCATTTCTGGAACACCCCGTGCGGATGACTTGCAATTGCAATGGTGGCTGACTCCCACGTCCGACGTAGTGTTTTTCATCAACGTGGCTCCCCCGATGGCTCGACCTCGTCTAGGGAAATATCTTCTCACCCTGAGTCGACTTTTGACGGTCCTGGGGCCCGCCGAGGCTCCCCAGGAGGCAGACAACTGTCAAACATCTGCCGTCGTGACTTCCTCGACATGCCCGAGGTGGGAAGGGTGGTGCACAGGCAGCTCTGATCGCGCGTCGCGCTCCGCGGATGACTTCGCGATCTCGCGCCGCCACCCCAGGGAAAAAAAGGAAGATGACGAGAACGAAGATAGGGCGACGCAATCTATACATATCCACTGCTCCCTGGCCAGGCCCATCCTGAACACAGGAGCTGTGTATACGCCACGCCCTCCTGGTTTCGCCAGGAGGGCGTATACACAGCTCCTGGGTTCAGGATGGGCCTGGCCAGGGAGCAGTGGATATGTATAGACTTCGTCCCCCGAGAAGATGAGGAATCGCGAATCGCGAACCGCGAATGATTTCGCGCGCCCTCGTGGCGGCCCCTGGTGGTGGACGCCTTCCCTCCCCCGAGGTGCCGCGGGTCGGTCTCCAGGGCGAGGAGGCGGTGCACCCGCGCGACCTGCCGAGGGGCTGGGGAGTGTCGCGGCCTCGTGCCCGAGGCCTCCGACTTGTCCCAACCCTCCCTAGGAGGCAAACAAGCCTACCTCGCTTTTGACCACCCTCGCTCCCAAGAGATACCAAGCGATGCCAAACTACGGCCTGTACAGGTCAGGCCGCTTGACGAGGAGGCGCGTGGTATGACGTGGTTTTGCCTGGAAGCGAAAGCGGGGTAGGTAATTCACGCTCTGACTCCCTCTGGCTCGCCTTTTTTTCAATTGCGCACTGCTTACTCCGAGCTTCCTCTTCTCCCTACCTGCGTCTTTCCCTGATCCCGGTCATGACCTCACGGCTGCCGCTGCCACCTGCGCAACCATCGCCACTTTCGTGGGCTCCTGGGAGGCCCAGCCCAGGCGCCTTACGCTCACCCAGACTAACCTCGCGGCTCCCGCGGGGTGGCTGCCACCTGCGCAACTATCGCCACTTTCGTGGGCCCTATGGAGGCCCAGCGCACTGGGGCCCTACGCGCACTCAGGCTGAACGTCGCGGATCCCTGGCGGTGCTGCCACCTGCGCAACTGTCGCCGCTGCCGTGGGCTCCTGGGAGGCCCATCGCGATGGCATCCGACGCGCACCCAGACTAAACCTCGCGGCTCCCTGAGGGTGCGGCCATCTGCGCAGATATTGCCACTTTCGCGGCCTCCTGGGAGGCCAAGCGCTGTGGTGTCATACCTACGTCCAGGCTAGGCTTCGCGGCTCCTTGGGGTGGTTGCCACCTGCACACCTGTATTCTGCTGTGCTGGGTGGTCTTATTGATAATACCCACGCTTTTGAATCGATGGGCTGGTCGAAGGCGATGTGTGCCCACAACAATTCTCAATACTGTTAGTCAGCGTGGGCCCCAAACGGTGTCCCTGGCATCATATTTATATACACGCACCAGTGTTGTGCATTCTCGTTGTGGCAATCTACATTGTGCAGTCTATCTGGTGCAAGCTATGCTGCGAAGTGAAAAAGGTGCGGCCTATGAGGTGCAAATGATTTTTACCCATGAATTGACACATGTACCCGCAACTTGGTTTGCAAAAGCCATGCGGTGGCGATTGCGGTGCATGCTTGGCGTTGGCTGGTGCATCTCTGCAGCCGCGCCAACCCTAGCACGCGCGCGCAAGGGCCAGCTAGTTTGGCGCCACCGATGCGGCCGCAGTGGCGCTGACCGCAGGGCGCACCCCAGCGGGCACTTCACTGTGAGTCGGCGGTTTGGGCGGGCGCGGTATCATGGTAACGTCGGCTACGGTGGACACGATGCTGATAGTAGCGATGATGGCGACGATGTTCGCACCGACGACGGCGCGGCCATTGCGGGCGCCGATGCTGATCACGCCGACGACGGACGGCGCCCTCGCGTCGGTGATGAAGCTGTTGGAAACACTTCGACATGCGCGCGCGGCCGACGCGCGAGTGGCCCGCATTGTTTTACTTGACACGGATCGTGCCCCCCCCCCAGCACGCGCGCAAGGGCGTGCGAATACCGAGGCCCGCCTGGCAGAATTCCACGAATATGTTGAACAACCGATGGTGTTCTTAAGAATTCGCAAGAGCGGGCGCGCAACCTTTTTTGAAAATTGATGTTGCGAAGCCTTGTCTTTGACTGTTTTTCGGACGCTCGGTTTTGAAATCGTCACGACATCGCAAGTTTTTGCATGATTTCGGCATGCACGCGCGACGACGCGCGCGTGTGCACTTCACCCCGTTTTTTCCAAAATACTCTCGCGACGGCACGCGCGCAAAGGCGTTCGAACGTGTTCGACATGCACGCGCGAAGACCGTTTGGTAGTAGAATCCGAAAATGTTGAAGCACCAATGGTGGTCTTAAAGATTCGCAAGGGCGCCCGCACGTTTTTTGTTTGAAAATCCGTGTCGCGAAGCAATGTGTTTTTTATATGTGTTTCGGGAACTCGGTTTTGACATCTTTCCGGGACCGCGAGTTTTCTAAAGGATTTCGGCATGCGCGCGCGACGACGCGCGCCTGTGCACTTCGTATCGTTTTTTTTTGCAAGGGGGTCATGAGAACTGCTAATTCTTGGTAAGCGAATGTGCGCGCATAGTTTTTTGCAAAGGATGGCGGGGGGGAATCGAACCCGGCTGGGCTGGGATGGTAGGAGTTCATATTTCGGATGGAAAATGGGGCACAATCGTATTAAAAGTCCACACAACAAAGGTGTACCGATAGAGCCGGGTGGTGGTGGCGGTGGATCATCCTAACTCTTCTTTAGACAGGAAAATCCACGTGGTGCAACCAATGTGGCGCAATAAGTGTGGTACAATATGCGTGGCTCAATTTATGGTGTACAACCTATGGGATGCCATATACGTCGTGCACTCTATGTGGTGCGATCTATGTGGCGCGACCTATGTGATGCAATGCGTACTGTGCACTATCGGTTGTGCAACCTATTTGTTGTAACCTACGCTGTGCAACACATGTTGTGCAATCTATGATGTGCACTCGAGGCGGGGTAACCAATGTGGTACATTCTAGGATGCGCGGTCTATGGTGTGCAATCTATGTGATGCGATCCACGATGTAGAATTCATTTCCACAAAGAAATTGACACTTCCAATGCTCTTGCAAACACCCCACCCACCCACCCGCAACTTCGACACATTGTTTGCAGAGGATTCTCGCGACGGCACGCGCGCCAGGGCGTTCGAACGATTTCAACATGCGCGCGCGAAGCCCGTTTGGTAATATTTTCAGAAACAAATGAAGAACCAATGGTTGCCGGAAGAATTCGCAAGGGCGCGCGCGCACGCATTTTTTGAACATCCGTGTTGCGAAACCATGTGTGTTTTATGTTTCTCGGACACTCGGTTTCGAGATCCTTCCACAACCTCAGGTTTTGGAAGGATTTCGGCATGCGCGCGCGACGACGCGCGCGTGTGCACTTCGTCTCGTTTTTTACACGGGATTCATGAAACAAACTTACGATGGTTGATAAACGAATGCGCGCGCATAGTATTTTTGCGGAAGATGACGGAGGGGGGTCGAACCCGGCTGGGCTGGGCTGTCTGGCATGCATTCACAATTCGGACGGACGATGAGGCATAACCAAATGTACATTGCAACACAAAGAATGTATACCGATAAAACCGGGGTGAAGGTGGTGGTGGATCCTAGTTCCTTTTTTTGCAGGAGCAGACATGTCGAGCAATCTAGGTGGAGCTATTCATGTGGTGCAGCCTGTGTGGTGCTACCTGCGTGGTGCAATACATGTGGTGCACTCTATGGTGTGTGATCTGTGGGGTGTGCAACCTGTGGTGCAACGAATGTGGTGAAAGCTGTACCGTGTGCGATCTGCGCTGTGCAATGCAGGTTGTGCAGCCCATGTGAGGCGGCGACGGCGGCAACGAGCGCGGCGACCGACAGACAGGCCCCGACGACGGGCGGCGACGAGGGGGCAGCGGTGTGGCGACGGCGGCAAGACAGCGCGGCGACCGACAGAGAGGCCCAGACGACGGGCGGCGACGATGCGGCAACGGTGTGGCGACGGCGGTAAGACAGCGCGGCGACCGACAGACAGGCCCAGACGACGGGTGGCGACGAGGCGGCGACGGTGTGGCGACGGCGGCAACATAGCGCAGCGACCGACAGACAGGTCCAGACGACGGGCGGCGACGAAGCGACGACGGAGCGGCGACGGCGGCAACATAGCCGCCAGACCGACAACCAGGCCCAGTTTCTTAGTAACGAGTCGAGGCCGTTACATGCAAACACTGTTTGGGGAATTATGTAGCTCCCACGCGGATGCATGGCAGGCCCCCTCCTCGACAAGGGGGTTGCGCCTGACACTTCCTCGGACATGTTCATTCGGTCTTAGTTCCTGTGGCCAAGCATATAGAGGGCAGATCCTGTACATGACGGGCTCCCGCCCGAGTGGCAGGCCTTGGAATACTTGTAGGGGCTACCTGGAGTGGGGCTTCGTGCAGTGGAACGGGAATACACTTGTAGGGGCTTGCAAGGTGTAGGGACTTGGGACGGGAGGGTAAGCTGCAACATCGCTGATGCACCCTTTGTTTGCACTTGTCCTCCTCCTCTTCCCCCGCGTCCTCCGTATCTCGGGGGCCCACAGAGGACGTACGCGCCAAACCACGTACACGAGCACGGCTCCCCCAGTCCACGAGAACAATCCGCGTGACAAGAACGTTCGCGCAAGGCGAACTCTCGAAACCAACGTGGATTCATGTACGCGTGCGTCCTTCTTCCTCTCCTGAATACCTTCATCCTCTCCGCCGCCTCCCCCTCAAATAGAGGGCAGAACCCCCCCCCCCCCCACAATGATCGCCCTGGCAATCGAAGCCGTTTGGCAAACGCTCCCCTCCCCCCCCCCCCCCCCCCCCCCCCCCCCTTCCCCCCCCCCCCGCACCCGAGCGGCGCCTGCGGGGGACTTCCCGGGAGGACGCAGGGCCTCTTCGAGGGAGCGGCCCGTGCTCCTGGACACGGCAGGCCTCTCCCGAGCGCAGCCCGTGCTCCTGGACGCGAAGAGGGCGCGACCGGCGACGCGCCTTCGCCGTCGGCGGCGAGGCGGAGGCGGGTCCGCACCAGCGCGGGGCGAGGCGGGGCAGCCGACAGGCGAGCAGTCCGGCGCGCAGGAAGAAGAGGCACGAGGACGGGGGCGGCCGCGCGGGGGGAGGGAGGGGGGGAAGCGCTCAGACGTGGTAGAGTTCCGCGACGAGCAGGCCGGAGCCCGCGACCAGGGACACACGGGATACCATGGCACCCTTGATGCTGCAGCTTCGACCTGCGAATCAGACACGAGTGTGCCCTCTTCCTCCTGCGTCCCGAAGAGACGGGTGCTCTCACCCCCCGCTAGACGGACCACCTGCGCGACCAGGACTGGAAAAAGAGAACGCGGCGACATGACCAAGACCGCACGCGGAAACGTCGGCGTCGATCGTGGTTGGCCTCCTTCCATCTAGACCACCGTCAATTCGTGGATGATCCTCGCGGATCGGCGACGGCCAGCATGGACCATGACCAAGATTGGCGTCGCCAAGATCTCGCGCAATCTCGGTCATGGTCCTCGTGCATCCTCCCTCGGAAGACATTGATGTTGGGCAACGGGGGCGACCGCCCCCAGCAACGCTCAACCAATCAGCCCCCCCACCCGCCCCTCCTTCGGACGCCTGAAGTGGGCACGGAAAAATGGCTATGATGCTCAACAGCAAACGAGGTCCAACACCGACAGCGGCCACTGCTGGGCAGGCGACCGTCTGTCTCAAGTGGACAACGGACAACGTCCGCGGCGACACCGAAAGCGCGTCCGGTCCAAAATGACCCAGGAATGCTGCCGTCTTCGTGCCCATCCTTTCCACGCCCGTCTCGATCGCACCCCCCCCCCTGCCGGCGTGCCCACCGCGGGAGCCACCGGGGCGTCGACGCTGATTCGCCCCAAATCGCTCGCCCCCGCGGCACCGCCCCAGCCACGTGCCCGCGCGCAGAAACTCTTCCCCCGGGAGCGCCGCCCGCGGAGGGACGAGTTCTGGCTCTCGACTCCAGGCCTGCGCCCGAGCCGCGAAGCACCCCGAGAGCCGGGCGCTGCAATCTTTCACAGCTAAGAAGAACACAAACGCCATAAACAGAAACTTTTGGCGCTCCGCGCGGATTCCTGGGATCTGCGCTGGACCCCCCTCCCTGGCGCGCGGAGCGCGCCAGGGGCGGCGCCGGAAGCGCCGCCTGGGGGGCCCAACGCGGATCCAAGAAATCAGCGCGGAGCGCCCCAAAACATGTGTTTATGGCGTGTTTCTTCTTCGAACGCCGGGCGTGTTCGCCCGCTCTCGGGCCCAGGGACCACCACCGATCGATCGGGCTTGAGAGATGCAGCAGGCAAATGGGGTCCAGGGTTCCAAACGTGATGTCTCGCGATGCTCCAAGTAATCGCAACGTCGGATCTCAGGGGTGGCGATCGGTCACCATACCTTAGGTCGGCCATGTCCCCCTACAGGCGGGTTTTGGGCGAGAAATCAAAAATAGTCAAAACATGTACTAAGCATGCTCAAGCATATAAAAAATCGTCCCCTGGCAATTTTCAAAATATTTTTGGATATTCCTCCTGTAGAGGGACAGGCCCGACTTAACCATAACCACGCCCTGTGCAGGTGAGGCCCCTGGGCGAGCACGCTCCCGAGGAACGAGCACCGAACAGGGCTGGACTGGCGCGGGAACGCCAAGGGCCGCTTCTGGTGAGCGCTCCGTCGTTGGGGCTGGGGTGCCCTCCCCTCCAATCGAGGGATGGGAGCGTCTTCAGCATACTACGGGTTTTTTTTTAAGCGCGGGGGGGGTACCCCCCCGACGTGGGTCAACCTCGCCTCGTCGTCGCGCCGCGACGGGGTCGAAGCGCCTTCGGCGCGCGGTGGCTGCCCGCGACGGGGCTCGATATGGGGCTGTCGGCGGGGGTGACGCCCCCTCGACGCTCACGAAGAAACTCGGAGTAGTGCCCACCCCCGGCAGAGATGCTCCAAGCTCCGAGGAATGGGCGTGAGGGGGCACGGTGCCGGGCGCGGTGTAGGCGCGCGCGGCCCTCTGCCCCCTCCCGTTCCCCTCCCCCTCTCCGCTGCGCGCATCCCCTCCTCGGCGCCTTTCTCCCCTCTCCTGCCCTGCCCTCCCGTCGCCTGCCCTGCCCTCTGCCTCCCTCTCGTGCCCTTCCGCTCACCTCGGACGGGTGGCAACGAGGGGTGACCCAAATGGGGGGTGAAGAACAAGTCCTTGAAGGTCCCCTTCAGGGCCTTGGTCTTCACCCACCATGTTGGGTCACCCTCCCTAAACGCCCGCCCGATCATCCCCCCAATCCCGACCTCCATCGGTCCTCCCAGGCTCGCTCGGTCCCGAGGGGGCGGGGGGGAAACATTTCCCAGGGTGGTGTCCAAGGGACACTCAGGGAATCCCACCGGCCCTTTCGGGCGTGAGTGGTTGACGTCGTTTCCTCTTCCACCCCCCCTGCCTCCCATTCGGGGATGGGCTTACCCTTCCCCGGCGGCGGCGGCGGGCGGCGGCGTCGCCGTCGGCGGCGGTGGCGGATTGGCCCACAGTAGCTGGCCATCCAAAGACGACTGCTGCGTATGCTGCGGCTCGGGCCAGGCTCGGGTGCTACGTATGTGTTGGGAGGGCGGGTGGGAGTGAGCGAGACGGCTTGCGGGCGGGGAGGGCGTCTTGACCCTTCCCCCTACCAATTTTCTTGGACCTGGAGGGGAGGTTTCGCAAGTCGTTGGGGCGTCCAAGATGGCCTCGGTGAGGCGGCACAACTCATTGATTTTACCAACAAGTATTTGGCACATTTTGACCTCCTGGGATGGGGGGGGATCCTAATGTAGTGCGGTCCTTCCTTTGATCGATCTCCTCCAAGGTGGCCTCAAGATGGCCCCCGAAGCTCCCAAGGGTGCCCCAAGACGGCCCCAAGAGGCGCCCAGGAGGCCCCAAGAGGCCCCCAGGAGGCCCCCAAGAGGATCCCAATAGACCCCCCAGAGGCCCCAAGAGGCTCCCCAGAGGCACCCAAGACGTCCCAGGAGGCCTCGGCGAGAAGGCCGAAATCACTAATTTCAGAAAATGTTTTGGACACCGGTTGGCCTCCTGGGGGGGAACCCTCATTAAGGAGCCCCCTCCTTTGATCCATCTCCTCCAAGATGACCCGAAGATGGCCCCCGAGATTCCCAAGGGTGCCCCAAGAGGTACCCAGGCGGCCCCAAGAGGCCCCTCAAACGTCCCCAAGATGCTCCCAAGGGACCCCCCACAAGGCTCCAAGAGACCCCCCAGAGGCACCCAAGACGACCCAAAAGGCCTTGGAGAGGGGGCCCTTGATCAGTACGACCCGCCCTCGATCGATCTCCTCCAAGGTGGCCTCAAGATGGCCCCCGAGGCTGCCAAGGGTGCTCCAAGAGCCCCAAGAGGTGTCCAAGAGGCTCCTGAGAGACCCCCCGAAACGCCACCAAGATGCTCCCAAGAGGCTCCCAGGAGACCCCCGAGAGGCCCCCCAGAGGCACCCACGGCGCCCCAAGGGGCCCCTGGGACTGCCAAGGAAACTCCAATACGCCCCAAGCTGACTCCAAGAAGTTCTCGAAAGACATTCGGACAGACTACGAGAGGCATCATGAGAAATCTTACCTTTCTGCTCGCCCTCCTCCTCCTCCTCCTCCTCCTCCTCCTCCTCTTCCTCATCCTTATATTTCTCCTCCTTCTTCCTCTCTCCTCCCCGTCCCCCTCTCTCCCACTCCTTCTGCTCTTCCTTTTCCTCATCCATCCTCCCCCACTTGGGGTATAATGGCTTCCGGGGCTCTTTATTATTCCACGGCGTGCTCCTCCACATCCCTGGTCAGGGCAACTCGCCTAGGCATTGTTTGTGGATAGGCTGGTGGGAGTACGCGAGGCGTCTCGAAATTTCAAGTTTGTTTTGTTTGAACAAATGGGGAGGAAGTCTCTGGAAGCCCAGAGGAAGAGGAGGAAGAGGGGGGGGGGGGCCAGTGCAAGCAAGCCCAACCAGCATCAACGATTTCACAATAAACCCTCCAAGTTCGCTCTGCATAGGTCCCCTACAGGAATTTATTTTCATCGAGGGAAATGGCCCATCAGAAAACAACCGTCTCAGACTCCTCAACCGCACCAAGACACAATTCCCGGGACTTGAACGCCGCGGATCAACGTCTGTTGACTCCTGACTGTCCTTAATCTGCCCGGAACGCCATTCCTGCGACTTCAACCATACTACCCCTTGAAGCTGTACCACCCTTTTGAAACGAATGTGTGGGGCGCTAGAGCGAGAGACACATTTTGAGCACCAGCCGCCCTCCATCAGTTGAAATGCTGCGAACTTCGAAAACGAATGTACACAACGCTAAGGCGAGAGCCAAACCTTTAAGTACACCCGCGCTCCATCGTTGAAACTGATTGAAACTTTTGACATAAATTCGCGCGGCGCTCGTGGGAGTGAAACATACCCGAGCTCCATCGTTGAAACTGGTTCAAACTTTTGAAATACATGCGCGCGGCGCTCAGGGGAGAGCTACATTTTGAAACTGGCCCACCCTCCATTCGTGAAACTTGTGCAGCTTTCGAGTTCCAAGATAACAAATGGTGAGGAAGTCTCAGACGAGGATTAGGAGGACGAGGACGAGGGGAATGCCGATGGAAAATGATGAGGAGGAGCATGAGGAATGCCGATGGGAGATGATGAGGAGGAGGGAGAGGAGGAGGAGGAGGAGGACGACGACGAGGATGAGGGGGAGGAGGAGGGGGACGAGGAGGAAGAGGAGGAGAAGGAGGAGGACGAAGAGGAGGAGGAGGATGAGGAGGCTGCAAGTCCCAGCGGTGTTTTTTGCGAGGCGCTGGAACCCTGGAGGAGGAGCAGGAGGCCCTCCCGATGCCTCTCCTGGGCCTCCGCCCGTCCGCCTCCTCCACCGTCCCCTCCTCCGTCTTCTCGCCCTCCTCCTCCCCCTCCTCCTCCTCTTCCTCCTCCTCCTCCTCCTCCACCCTCCCCTCCTCCGACTTCTCGCCCTCCTCCCCCTCCCGCCGCTCCTCGCCCTCCCTCTCCCTTCTAATGATGCTCCTCCTCCTCCTCCTCCTCCTCCTCCTCCTCCTCCTCCTCCTCCCCTCCTCCTCCTCCTCCCCCTCCTCCTCCTCCTCCACGCTTCTCATGATGATCCGCCACGCCTCGTCCACCCCCCTCACCCTCCCCTTACCCCTCCACCATCATCCCCGCTCTGGGGGGGGCGGCAGATAGGGTACTGATACCGCCACTCTCCATCCCTCCCTGGGGTGGCGTTCTGGCTAGAATCCCGAGGAGAAGTCAGCTCTGCTGACGAGGGCACTCCGGGACGAGCAGCGGTATTGGTACCTTGCCGGCTCCCTCTCCGACGACGACCACGACGGCGACCGCGGCCAACGACGACAACGACGACGACGACGACGACGACGACGACGACGACGACGACGACGGGTGAATGCGGCGACCTGCGGCTCCGCCTCGCGCGGGAATGCCTCCTCGCTGGCGCGCTGGCCGTCCTTCAGCAGCCGGAGCCTCTCGGCCGCTTGGCGCACCTCCTCGCCGCGCGCGCCGACGACGACGAGGACGGTGACAGGGAGGCCACAGATGAGTAGCCAAAAACGGACCCCTAACCCTTTGGGAGGGGACTTAAGTTAAGAGGGCCGAAAACCTTAGGGACATGGGGTATTTTCTGCAGATGTATCGAACAACACCGTCCAAATCTATTGTCGCTGAAGCGAAGACGGGCGCCTCCGTGAGGCCCTGTCTCCATCGTGTTCTTAGGGTTAGGGGTTCCTGTTCTCGATGAGCAGAGGACGTGCGCGCCCAACATTACACATGAATACGCCCCCCCCAGTCTGGGAGACCAGCCTCATGGCACGAACGTGCGCGCAAGGCGTGCTTGCGAAGCCCACGTGGCTTCGTGTACGTGTATGTCCATCTTTCGCTCCTGAGATGACGTGCCCGAAGACGGCACGGGCGAAGCTGAAGACGACGAGGACGACGAGGCCGACGACGCCGTCGCTCAAAGGCCGAAGTTCCTGGATGTCTCGGCCTGGCCCTGGAGAAGGGGTCGGGAGCTCCTCGCTGCGCGCGCGCGGGCGGCGACGCCATGATCGGTCCGCAGGCATGCTCGCGTCGTGACCCAAACCACGACGGGATGCTTTCTGGCCGTGTTCGGCCCCTGGGCGCCCCCGCAGAGCGGCGGCCGCGCTCCTGCAGGGGGGGGCCCAGGCAGGGTGCAGAGGACACGCCCGGTGTTCCCAGTGGCCTGCGCGACGGCTGGCTGGCCCCCCTCGTCTTATGATGTTCCAACCTACTTTAGCCTTGATCGCCAGAAAGAACTTCGAGCACCAAGAACAAAAACCGAAACTCCAAGGTTTTCACGTGTCGGGCCCTGGGAGACACTCGCCCGACACTGTTTCGACACTCTTTCGACACTTTTCTGGGTGCTCGAATTTATTTCTGAGATGTGGTCTGTAAGTAGGATGGGAACAACATAGCCCTCGTCCTGGGCACGCGCGGCTCACGCCCCTCCGCTTCGCTTGCTCCATGCCTGGGCCAGGTGCGTGTTGGTTGTGGCATGCCTGGAGGCCTCCTAGATGGGGTCGGAGGATCGCGCCGCACCGCCGACGCATCGGCGATGCGGCTCGATGTGGAGCCAGATTTTCTCCACGCCGAGGGCGCCGACGCAGCGCCTATCGCACTGGTCGTCATTGCTTCGATGCCACGGTGTGAAGGACCCGTCGCCCTTGGCGTTTGGTCATCACCCAGTTCGTGTTATGACGTCTTGTGCGGAGGCTCTACCTGGTTCTGTGTACTGACCCTGCACCCTTGCGCACGGGGCTCTCCGTGTTCGCCGTGCAGCCCCAATTTCTGCTGCCCCTGGTCGTCATTGCTTCGATGCCATGGTGTGGAGGACCCGTCGCCCTGAGCGTTTTGTCATCACCCAGTTCGTGTTATGACGTCATGTGCGGAGGCTCTACCTGGTTCTGTATACGGCCGTTGGTATACCCTGGTTGTCCTTTCCAACCGCGCCATGATCCACGATTCTCTGGCTTCGCCTTCGGGCCCTTCACGGACTTCCACATCGCAGTGCACGCCTCCGGCGCTGCGATGTGCACACGGACTGCATGTTCTGAGCGCGGCCTCCCTCCCCCCCCCGCGCCTCCTCCACCTCCCGCCGCGCCTGCTTGAGTGCCTCAATTCGCCTCGGAAGCGCCCCACCGTCGCTCGAGCGTTGCTTGAGTCAAGCGGCCGCAGACACAAACATGTTTGGCCGTTTTCGCCCTCTGGGGGCCCCTGCCGGGCCCTGGAGCTTTCAGAAAACGATTCCGGAGGATAAGCCAGCCCATGGGGAAAAGGGTCGGGGCTTCGGGGGGGGGCCCGAATGGAACAAAGCGAGACATCGGCTGTTTTGTCGTCAGCATCTTCGGTGACAACTCATGGGAGTCTCCCATGCCATCATGCTGGCTCTATCGAATCGACGCCGGTCGACGCCAGTCGACGCGCATGCGACGGACGCTAACCGACGCGAATCGACGCTAGATCGGAGCTGTCACATCGACTGCCCAACGTTCGTCGACGCTGATGCACTCCAAAGCTGGAGCTACGAGAGCACACGAGGCTCCCATGCTTCGGCTGCACGTAAGAGTGACCCAGGGCAAGAGTGACCTCTGGTGCGCGGCTTTTTTGGGGGCGCGAGGAGGCCAAACACAAGCGCGCAAGACGCTACTATCGCACCGAGCGCGGCGATCGGAGGACCCCAGTGAGCGCGCACCAAAGGCCACTCTGGCGAAGGGTCACTCTTGCGTCGCGTAAGAGTGTACTGCACGGTGTAGTCGAATGCTGTGCCACCGAGAGCACCGAGCCGATGGATCGGGCAGGGACCGGCGCGCGCGCCGGATCGGGCCGGCGCTACGGGGTGTCGCACTCGGAGCGGGCCGGCCGCGCCAGGCAGCACACGGCGGTCCCGTCAATGCGCACGCCGGACCGCCTCAGACCGTCGGGCGTCCCGGGACCGAAGGGCCTCGAGCCGGCCGGAAGCGACGTCGCGCTGGTGCTCCCGCGTGCGTGGCGGCTGCAGTGCAATCGGGAGCCTACGCTGGCCGGCGGGGGGGGGAGCCGAGAAGGAACCGAGTTACCACGCCCGAATCGGGTGCTCTGAATTCCTGGCGTGGGCGTGGGACACGTGAAAATACATGAAATTCGCGCCCCCGAGGCCATATGTACGCGTCCCCGAGGCCACAAACGCCCGTCCCCGAGGCCAGAGGTAGGGGTCAGGCACGCGGCGGGCTCACGTGCGAGCGCCGCGCGCCACCAGGAGCGCCAGCTCCAGCAGGCCCGCCCCGGAGCCGCGGGGGCCTCCCCGCGGGTGCCGCCGTGGGGCGCGCCGATGTCGCGTCGAGATCGGGTCGGCGTGAGATTGAGCCTGCGACGTCGGAACAGCGTGCGTGGCGACCGCGCGGCCAGGAGTGCCGAGGTATACTGGAGGGGGGCACGGAGGCACCGCTGGGAAGCTCCTCGTGGTCTCGAAGCCGTCGACGCTCCGCTCATGTCCGGGAGGCCGAAGTTCTGAGGCAACCGGTTCGTCCAACGGACACACGCGCAGCAGGTAGCGTGTCGACACGAAGCTCGACACGTAGACTGAAAACGTAGGTTGGGCGCGATACGCTCGCCGAGACGAGGGCCAACACGTCGAGCCAGCACGCAGCGTATTGACACGGACGCTTTGAACACGGCACGTGTTGCGTTTCAAACCCGGCGCATCGAGGCAGCTAAAGCTGGGGTTCGTCGGCCAAGCAGCAGCTCAGTGTACACGCCCTAGCTGCCCAAGCTGGGGGACGCTGGAGCGTCCATACACCGAACTCCTCCGCCGACCTCCTTGGTCCTCTGGGCCGACCAAACGACGTGGTATGTACGTCGAGCCCCTCCGATGCCGCAGCAGGAGCACGGGGACGGGGACGAGAAGGACGACGCTGCTCGAGATTCGAGCTTGTTCGACGCCTTCGTCTTCGTTAGGGCTGGTTGACACAATGGCGGTTCTCCCGCACGGCCTGGACCCGTTCAGACTCGGTCCCCGGGACCCGTCCAGGGGTCCATCCTGCGAGGGTGGCTCCTCTCAGGAGTGTCCCAGGCGCCTTCCCAAAGGCTGTGCGGGCGCCCCACAGGAACACTCCAACCACCTCCGCTATGCTGGGCGCGACCCCTCCCGGGAGCCTCGTGGGAGCCTCGAAGCTCTAAGCAGACTCGCAGGAGCCCTGCAGGAGCCCTGCAAGGGACTCGCAGGAGGCCCGCAGGAGCACTACAGCAGCCCAACTGGAGCCTGACTGGGCAGCACTTCTTCGACACTTGGAGGGGTGCGCACGGGGTGCGGTCTCTATGGGCACCATCGTCCAGGCCGTCGCAAAGGTGGCACTTGTCCGCGCGTTCTGGAGGCGCTTCCGTAATCCATTCTTGCACAGTATATCTTACCTAAATCTGTGGAGCCCTGTGGTAACATCATTTCAGGCCCTGAAATGATGTTACCGCAGAGTTGCTTCCCCCATGTCCGAAATCGGCAGCCCGCGGTCTCCCCATATGGTCTGCCGCACGGTCTCCTGCAAGGGCTCCCGCATGTCCCGTATGGTCTCCTGGATGGCCTCCGGTATGGCCGTGCACACGGTCTCCCGCAGGGTCTCGTGCACGGTCTTCCGCATAATCTCCCGAATGGTCTCACGTACGGCTTGCTGCATGGTCTCCCGTGTGGTCTCCTGCCTGGTCTCCCGCATGCTCTGCCGTCTGGTCTCCCGCATCGTCTCCCAGAAGGTGTTGGAATCTCCCGTATGGTCTCCTGCACGGTCTCCCGTATGGTTTCGTAGATGGCCCCCCATCAACTGTACATTGGCCTCGCGATTGGTCTACCGAAGTCTCGGTATGGTCTCCCGCACTATCTCCCCGCAAAGTCTCCCGAATGGTCTCCCGCACGCTCTCCCTCATGGTCTTCCGCGTGGTCTCCCGTATGGTCTGTGGTCTCCCATGTGATATTGTATGGGGCCTCTTGTGCCATGGTCCCCGCACGCGCGGATAGGAGTGGGGTGGGAGGCCACAAATGCATCAAATGTCGCCTTCATGCAGGCGCCCATTTTTGCAACTTCAACCTTCCGACTCATGCGGGACCCAAAGGTCCAGCCACAGTTGCCGAAATACGGTGCAACTGCTACAAACATGCAATTTAAAAGCCCGCAGCCCGCCGCAGGCGCCGACTTTCCCCAGTAACGTTTCGCTAGAGCGTTAAAGAAACGGTGAAACAAACAATGACACATCTAAATGGGGGGACGGGGAACCCGTCGGCAACCAATTTGCGCAAGGCTTCCTCAACGATCCGTGGTACACCCCTGCTGCGTCCTTTCCTTTTTGCGGTCGCGTCCGAGATTTTACCCCTGTCCTGGCCGTACCATTCCTGCTAGGGGCTTCCAGGCCGTGCTTCTCCGAATCTCCTCGACACGCCCCTTAACTCTTGCTGCTATCAGGCTGTGCTGCTTGCTCTTTTGTTGCAGCTGTTGTCTCCCTTTCGTTCCTGCGCAACACATCTGTAATTACCCAATCATGCGCTGGCCCTCTTTTTCCACACGGTGTCCCCGGAAGTCCCGACCAACTCCCCAGGACCGGCCCCTCACTCCGAAACCTTTT